TTTATTGTCAAATTAGTTTCCACATAACACTCAGTGCTCATCCCCACAAGTGCCCTCCTCCATGCCCATCCCCTCCTCCCCCCCACATCCATCAGTCCTCAGTTTTTGTCAGCATTCAAGAGTCTCTCATGGTTTGCCTCTCTCCCTTTCCCCCACCATTTCCGCCCTTCTTCTCCCCCTTGTTCCTCCATCATGTTCCTCCTAATCTTCCTATACTTGCAAACATATGATATTTGTCCTTCTTTGCCTGACTTATTTCGCTCAGCATAACACCCTCAAGGTCCATCCATGTTGCTACTCATGGCCAGATTTCATTGTTTCTCATTGCCATGTAGTATTCCATGGTATAGATAAACCACATCTTCTGGATCCATTCGTCCGTTGATGGACACTTAGGCTCTTTCCATGTTTTAGCTATTGTGGAGAGTGCTGCTATGAACATTGGGGTACATGTGCTCCTATGCATCAGCATTTCCGTATCCCTTGGGTAAATTCCCAGCAGTGCTATTGCTGGGTCCTAGGGGAGTTCTATTGTTAGTTTCCTGAGGAACCTCCACACTGTTTTCCAGAGGGGCTGTACCAGTTTACATTCCCACCAACAGTGTAGGAGGGTGCCCGTTTCTCCACATCCTCGCCAGCATTCAGAGTTCTCTGATTTGCTCATTTTAGCCAGTCTGACTGGCGTGAGGTGGTATCTCAGTGTGGTTTTGATTTGTATTTCCCTGATGAGGAGGGATGCTGAGCATCGTTTCATGTGTCTGTTGGCCATCTGGATGTCCTCTTTGGAGAAGTGTCTGTTCATGTCTTCTGCCCATTTCTTCACTGGGTTGTTTGTTTTTCGGGCGTGTAGTTTGGTGAGTTCCTTATAGATTCTGGATATTAACCCTTTATCTGATATGTCATTTGCAACTATCTTTTCCCATTCCGTTGGTTGCCTATTAATTTTCTGGGTTGTTTCCTTGGCTGTGCAGAAGCTTTTAATCTTGATGAGGTCCCAACAGTTTATTTTTGCTCTTGATTCCCTTGCTTTTGGGGATGTGTCAAGTAAGAAGTTGCTGTGGTGGAGGTCAAGGAGGTTGTTTCCTGCTTTCTCCTCTAGGGTGTTGATAGTTTCCTGTCTCACGTTCAGGTCCTTTATCCACTTTGAGTTTATTTTTGTGCATGGTGTGAGAAAATGATCTAGTTTCATTCTTCTGCATGTTGCTGTCCAGTTCTCCCAACACCATCTGTTAAAAAGGCTGTCTTTTTTCCATTGGATATTCTTTCCTGATTTGTCAAAGATTAGTTGGCTGTATACTTTTGAGTCCACTTCTGAGTTCTCGATTCTGTTCCATTGGTCTATGTGTCTGTTTTTGTGCCAATACCATACTGTCTTGATGATGACAGCTTTGTAGTAGAGGCTAAAGTCTGGGATGGTGATCCCTCCCGTTTTGGTTTTATTTTTCAGTATTACTTTGGCTACAGGAAATCAAAAGAAATCAAAAGAAAGCTGGAGTAGTGATACTTATATCAGACAAACTGGACTTTAAATTAAAGACAATCACAAGAGATGACGAAGGGCACTACATAATAATTACAGGGTCCATCCATCAGGAAGAACTAACAATCATAAATGTCTACGCACCGAATATGGGAGCACCTAAATATTTACAACAATTAATCACAAACAGAAACAAGCTTATAGATAAGAATGTGCTAATAGCAGGGGACTTTAATACTCCCCTTACACCAATGGATAGGTCAACCAGACAGAAAATCACTAAAGAAATAATGGACTTGAAAGACACATTGGACCAGATGGATCTGACAGATATATTTAGAACTTTACATCCTGAGGCCAGGGAATTTACTTTCTTCTCAAGTGCGCATGGCACATTCTCCAAGATAGATCACATACTGGGACATAAAGCAGGCCTCAATAAATATAAAAGAATAGAGATCATACCATGCACACTGTCAGATCACAATGCTTTGAAACTTGAAATCAATTACAGGAAGAAGTCTGGAAAACCTCCAAAAACATGGAGGTTAAAGAACACCTTCTAAAGAATGAATGGGCCAATCAGGCAATTAGAGATGCAATTAAAAAATATATGGAAACAAATGAAAATGAAAACCAGCAATCTATCTTATTTTTCTTTAGATAACCAGTTTTCCATGGAAATAATCATCTGTGATAGTCTTCTCTGGTAGCACAACATTCTTCTGTTAATATATGGTTACATCAGTTGAATATGATAGTGTAAAATATGTGAGATAAAATAGACTGTGGTAAATATGTTGTTCCAATTTCTTGCATATCAGTCTCCTTTAACATTTTGGTGTTAGCATATTTACATTTAAGGAATCATAGAGTAAATATCAGCATTTATAGAAGATGGCTCTGGAATATCCTTATTTGGAGATTTAAAAAATTGTGCTAAAATACACATAACAAAATTTTCTTTTTTTTTTTTTTATCATTTTTAAGTTTAGTAGTATTAAGTACATTCAGGTTGTGCAGCCATCACCACTATCTATCCCCAGAAACTTTTTTCATCTTCCAAAGCTGAAATTGGTACTCTATACCAATTAAGTAATTATTTCCCATTCCTGTATTTTCCTAGCCAATGGAACCCACCATTCTAGTCTCTGTCACCATGAACTTGACTATTCTAGGTACCTTATATAAATGGAATTATATACTACTTGCTCTTTTGTGACAGACTTATTTTACTTAGCATAATGTTTTCAAATTTCATCGATGTTGTAGTATGTGTCAGAATGTCCCTCCTTTTTAGGGTTGAATAATATTCCACTCTATGCATACACCACATTTTGTTTATTCGTTCATCTGTTGATACATACTTGAGTTGCTTTCATATTTTGGCTATTGTGAATAACGCTGTTATGAACATAAGTATCCAGATATCTGTTCAAGTCTCTGCTTTCAATTCATTTGGGTATATGCTCAGAGTCAGTTTTCTGGATCATATGGTAATCTGTTTAAATTTTTGAGGAACCATCTCACTGTTTTCCAGAGTGGCTGCATTAGTTTACATTCCTACTCGTCATGCACAAGGATTCCAGTTTCTTTAGGTTCTTGGTGATCTTAAATGTATTTTTTTCTCTAGATGGACTGATTATGAGTTGAGGAAGACAAAAAGATCTAGATGATGTTTAAAGCCCAACCTGTCTTGTCACCTGTGATGCATTGCCTTTAAGAAAGAATTTACTGAGTAATATTTTACTTGCCCCACAGGGTTAATAAAACGTTTATTAATATACGACTTTTTGTTAGACAATAGATTACATGCCCAACTTAATCTTTCAGGACTCAAAGCAATATATTGTTCAAAGCATGCATCCCCATGTTCTGCTATCAATATTATAAAAATGGAATATCTGGAGGTTGGCAAATCATTGCAATTATTTGGTATTGGTATGTTGAAATGGAAATAAAAATAGAGGGACTTGTCTCGGGTTAATTCCCCCCAACCAGACCCCGACATGAAAATCTGTGTAAAAGTGATTAAGAAGTGTTCCCAGCAGAGATTATAGGGGAATGGGGGGAAGAAGAACCCAAGCCAAACAAAGGTACCTTGTCCAGGGTGCAATATTGTGGAACACTGTCACTCCACAGTGTCACTTTGGCTAGGTCCTGCCAAGGAACTCTAGAGGTGAGTTGGGTTGCACCTCAGGGTGGTTCCAGTTGGGAAAAAAAAGCCAGTTTATTGACCAGCTATTGGTGAGGTGTGATCAGGGATTTCCAGCTGTCCTGTGCAGCAGGGAAATGAGTTCTGGCAGCTGGAGGCCACCCTCCAACAAAAAGACGTGGGGATTGGCTATTGGGATTGAAGCCACACTGGGCGTGTGTATGAACATGGTATAAGGATCCAAAGGGATATGGCAGAGCACTACAGCTTCTGCCACAGAGGTCAGAAAAAGGCAGTGTGTATCCTGAGGATAGGAATAGACAGGCAGGGATTAGGGTCGGGTGCAGTTAGTGTCAGCCATTTAATAACGTGGAGTGCCTGGGTGTCTCAATCAGTTGGTTGAACATTCGACTCTTGATTTTGGCTCAGGTCGTGATCCCAGGGTTGTGGGACTGAGCCCCATATGTTGAGCATGGAGCCCACTTAAGATTCTCTCTCTTTCTCTCTCTCCCTCTCTCCCTCTGCCCAACTCTCCGACTCATGTGCTCTCTCTCTAAAATTAAAAAAAAAAATATGTATATATATATATATATAAATAACTTGAAGAAAGAACTTTGTATCAAAACTTTATTTATTAAACAAAAAATGCACCATTGGAATAACATTTCTATAAAAAATGAATATGAGACTGTTCTACAGTGATTACAAAACCCCCTTTTCCTCCTGTGGTAGTATACAAGATCGAGTGTAGAAACAGTCATTGTTTTAAACTGTAAGCAAGTATCCTTTCTCATAGAACAAGATTTACACTTAAATATTGCAATCACTAGTCTAATTTGGTTAACAATGCTAGAGTCTTGACAATTTAAAGAAACTCTTTGTAGGCTCAAAATACCTTTGTTTTTTTTTAAAGGTGTTTTGGAGCAACAAAAAGTTTCTTTTTCCACTAAGGCTAGTTAAAGCTGTAGTATACCCATTTCTACCAAATAAACCTACCACTAGCACACTAACAATTTGAATTGCAAAGCCCTTTGAGAGAATGAGTAGCACTGATCTGTAAAATGCTATCAGAATATTTTAGATTTGGTGTTATCTCGTTTGAATGACCCTGGAAAGGGAGAAGGTGGTAAGGATGAAACTTCAGTGGAGGCTTTGCCTGGAAGTATCCTCATACTCAGCAATGGACAGTTCATTTCCAAAGTGGTCCCTCTGAGATATGGAACACTGCAGCTTTAATAGCCGTATCTAGATTCCCAACCAGATCTCCCTTTTTATCATAAATTATCCAAAAAGAAGCCACTCTAAATAATAAATTAAATATTACTTATAAAAAGTACACCCCAGACCCACCCACCCATCCCCCAAACAAGCTGACAATTCACAAAGTTCAGAATTGCCAGGTTTACCCTACAATAATAAAAAACGACATTTCTTCTCCTCTCCAACATTCCTTTCTTGCATCTGAAAATACACTTTCAGCACACAGTGAGATCCCTTGGCCCATGCATCTGTGACATCTTGTAGAGTTTTGCTGTTGCTCTCCAACCAACAAAAAGTTATAGGATGGCAATGTACAAAGGCTCTCTGCTGAGAGCAGGAGAAGAAATCCTTCAGAGAGTGCAGCCAGAAGTCGCCAAGTGAACGTTACCCGACAGCGGCAATGCAGAATGCGGAAGTAATATGTAGTTGTGGATGTGGGCGTGGCATGGAGTTTCCTATATAACCTCACTGACCGGGAAATAGCAGGCATTTCTTTTCATTGTTACCTTTTGGAAGCAAGTACTTCGATAGCAAAGTATGCCAAAGCATGGGAATGTGTCTTTTGCATTGGAATGGAACGTCACTCAAAATATCTATGATTTTCTAGGTATCTAATGTGATTTAAATCATTGGAATAAGCGAAAGGCTTTTCTGTGCAACATTTAAGTGACTTCTGAAATTCATGAGAGAAATAGACATTATGAGTAAAATGTTGCTTCAAAAGAAATTTTTAGAAGAGAGAGAGATTATAGATTTGAGTGTGTGCCTGCTTCTGCAGATGTAGAATGGTATGGGTTCTGTATTGTATACATGGTTATGAACAGGATAAGATAGTTGTAACTGGCTTTGAGGACAGTGGGCAATGGCATGAAGTAAACTAGTTGACTGAGGGAAGGAAAGCAACCTTGTTCCACACCTATTTTAAGGTTCAGATGATTTTGCTTTCTTTAAACATACCTAAAACAAGAACATGTTTTTCTACTTTTCCTTGTCTCATGGACTAGAAATGGAAACTCTAAAACCACAAGTTTGAGTCTGGGATCCAATTTCATCGGAAATGGCACGGCGATTTCTTTAGAGGTGACATTTTGTTGTTGGTGTTGGAGTTATAGTTCAGCTGCCATATGTGAAATCCTCTATTAAATTTGGAGGAGATTTTAGTTATTTCTCTAAACAAAATCAACAGATAGATGTATCAAAAGGGTGGATAAGAATGCACAATCACCTTCAAACACAGACTATGAAGGTTTCCAGAAAAACCTACTTAGAGATGCTTTATTGGAAAAGCCAATCAGTGCCAAACTTGAAACTTTCCAAATATTGTCTGGGACAACATACTACTGCAGGGCCTCTCTCTCCATTTGTAGCTGCTACCAAGGCAGAGGACCAAACATACACGTCATTTTGAACACTCCTTATTTTGAAGAGAATAATGTTATTATCCAATCCCACACAGGAAGTCTTAATAAATTCGCCTCTTTTATCCCTGGCTTGATCTGTTTTCCCCCCTCTCTCTTTTTATTCCCCAGATTGTTCAATTGAGTGTGCATTTTATAACACCCAAATGTAAAGTTCCATTATTTAAATATTCTAGAAGCTTATAGCATTATTCTACAAAGAGGTAGCTATGAGTGGTTTTTTATTGAATGTGAATCACTAAGAAATGTTTACCTTCTGGCCAGAGCTTCTTCCAAATATGCTTTACGCATGTGGGGCTATCTGCATTTTTGTAATTTTAACAAATGCAGAAATTTCTAGAGGAGAGAAAAATTGCTTTCTTATCAGTATGAAATACAACAGAAAAATACGAAACTTTTTCAAGAGGAGGCTCTTGCCTGACAGTTCAGCGCAGTGCAGGGGAGGACTGAGCGGACCCTGCCAAGTTTTATTTTCTTCTTATTCAGGGAGAAATGAGTCCTGGTGTCAGAGCTGCTGGTTGGCTGTCAAACATCACCCTATGGGAGTCAGAGAGATTTATGAGCTTAAAGAGCCCTGGATGTTATGAAGTAGGCTCAGAGTAGGAAGAAAATAGAGGCTATCTTGCAGTGTTCACAGATTGCTTCTTGTCAAGAGATCAGAACACAGGGAAATTACAAAGTTACCTGAAAACTTGAGCAGGCAGTCGTATATAAATGCAAACTCTTCAAGATAGTGGGGAGCAGAGTTTTACAAAAGTTGTAGTGAAGTCGTTGCACATTAAAACCATTGGGTAAAGCACATGAGAGTCTCTTGAGAGAATTTAAATGGATTCTACTATATCTTCAAGGCATGAAGCAAAGCCTTATTAGCATTACAAATTAGTAAAATAAACCATTGTATTCTTTTAATGCAGAAAGTTTCAGGAGCATGCACCAGAAATACACCTCTCACTGAAAACAGATAATGCATATTTTCATGTAGTTTTAACAATTTTTATTTGTTAAGATCAGTGACTTTGACTAGAGTCAACTAGAATTTTATGAAATGCTAGTTCTCTTGATTGTCCAGATATAGTCTATAGACTGAAGATGTGACTCTATCTGAAATTTGAGACTTGTAGCCTATATCAAACAGATCACTCACGATGTCATTCATTGGATAGCAAATGCCATCAGAGAATGTTCCTTGTTTATGAGTACTAGAAAGGGGGAAGCATGTAGGACCTCGAGTGGTAAAGCTAGCCTAATGAACATTTTCTGAAGTAATGAATTATTTCTGCAAGATTTGGGATTATGTTAGGAAATGCCTTATTCCCGGTCAGTGGAGGGTTGTCTACCTAAGTGCCCAGATTTTGAACAGGAATAATATGCCCCATAGAATAACGCCACGTAGCTCTTCAGAAGAACTTCAAGAAAATCTTAGTATATTGAAGAAGCACTCTTGTTGAAGGAACAATTTCACAAATGGACCGGACTTTCTAATGAACCATTTGAACAAGCCCTCTCTTTGACATCAGATTTCCTTCCCGACATAAAACTGTAAAAAAATAATCTGAATTATTACTTCTGTTACAGTGCCATTTTGCTCAAAATATTTTATTCAGGGATTCATATATAATTACCCACCTAATAAAAGGAGCTATTAGGTTGTAAAGATCCTATCCCTTCCATGCTCTTTTAAAATTATGACCTACTCAAGCTTGAAATCAAAGACAGAGCTGAAAGGAATAATTCAGCTGAAACTCTCTTATTGGGTTTTCAAGTCGCCTAACTGATAAATATGCAAATTAGCTCCCTTTTGGCGATTCAGCTGCATAAACAGGGATTAACTCCAAATGCAGCTGAAAATTCAGAAAAGGGTACACACAAAATGTTCTTATTTTCACCTAGTTCCAAGCTGTAGATAAACATGGAGATAGAAATTTAAAATTCTACTTCACAATGAAGATGCAGCTCAGAAAAGCATCCACTGGATTTATAATGTGTCAGAATCATTAAGTGACACCTTCCTCTCTGCTCCTCTGTGACTCTGGGCAGGCAGAGTGTAGGTTCCCTTGACAACAGGGCCTGGTGGTCGCCACTGGCCAAAACTGCTCCCTCTAAGTCAGTGAGGAGCCTGGTGGTGGAAGTGACATCTCACTCAAGGGCAGGTACTGTTTGCAACTGCCTTCACTTTCCTTCCCTTCCTCAGGGTCTGTTCTCAGGGAGTCTGCCATTTCCACAGAGGGTGACAGGGACGTTGGTCAGGCCAAGCAGTGTGTGGAGCTGGCCACCTCATCCAAGGCTGGCTGCCATGGAGAACTCAGGAAGGGACAGGATGTAGGGGGTGTGGTGGAGGTGGAAACACTTTCGGCCAGACTTCTGAGGAAGATGGCCTTGTGAAACCTTGAAATGTCATCACAGTGTGATATGGTACAAAAGCCACCCAAATCGAAAAGTGTCCTATTACAAGCTTAAGCACATAATTACGGTGTGTCTGAGAAGATTGCATATTGTATCCTCTTTCAAGAAACAGACTGCTACCGGCAAGATGCCACTAGTTGCAGATTTTTATATTCCTGTTCTCCAGACATAAATATTAACCAAGGGCAGATTGACAAATACTTGCAAAAATGGGTGAATTTTACAGCAACTTGCTAAAATCCTGCACTTGTGCAAGATGAATGCCTGAGTTACAAAACATAAGCATTCGCTGCCTTTTGTTTGTTTACTTATTTACTTTTTGTGCTGTCAAGCAAACATCCAATCCTTTGGTGCTATGTAGTGAGAGAATTTCAGTGGGCACTTTGTACTTTGAAGTTGAAAACAAAATAATGAGCTCGCACTGATTTGCCATGGCATGGGACAGGCTTCAATAATGCACTTGCATTTTGTGAGACTAGACCTACAGAAAAAGGAAATGACAGGCCTTGATGAAGGAAAACATAAACAGTAGTTATGACGGTGTGGTCACTGCAGTGGCAAAGACCCAGGACTAGTCTAGCAGCTTCAGCTTTGACATTGCAGTGAAGACACATATTTGCTTTTGTTTAGGGACTCCATAATAATCATTGTGAAATTCCTGATGCCTCTGAAAGAAGGGACACTTATTCCTTCGGAACTGCTTCAGGATCCTCCATAACTGAGTGGTCCTGATGGTTGACCTGTACACTGGTTAAGAGTTCTTGGACACAGGTGTGCTGTTTATGGGTAATTGGTATGCTGCAACGTTCCCAGAAAGTACACCTCATCAAGTGGGTAACACGTGTTAAAAGGCCGAGCCTGTGATGGCATTAAGTTGCTTCATTAACCCTTCCAAACTTGCCATTTGTTCACTCAAATCATCCTGTTCATACACCTACAGAAAGAACAAGAACAAAAAGTTAGTACAGATGAACGTTAATACATTCCCCTTATGAAGGCAGTGGCCATGTCTAGTTGGTTTACTCTGTATTCTGAAGCATGACACAGTGGCCCATAGCCATAGTGAGAGGCTGTGCTCAGAATACAATCATTGAATGAAGATGTCAGTAATAAAAGAGGTGGTGAGGAGAGGAACGATTGCATACTGTTTCACTAACTTCATCCCTGTGTTGAGGAGAAAGCTTGAGTGAAAAGAAAAAAAAAAAAATCTCAATTTCACATCGAGTTCTACCTGTCTAGCTGTGTGGTCTCAAGTTAGCGAGGCTCTCGGATATATAGTTCTTCTCAGCTACAAAATGATGATTATTTCTATTTCATAGTCTTTCTAAGTATCATGTAGCATGTTTAATGACTATCGAAGTAGCCAGTACATGGTTCACATTCAATATGTTCCCCTTTTTCCTTCCCATATGTGTCCAGCAGGACATGAACACAATGTATATCACCATGTTTCTTTTCTTCATAACACAACAGAGGTACATTTTTGTGGGAGCTTTATGGGATTTGCCTTGATCAGTGAAAGGTCTGAGGATTATGGCTTTGTTTTGTGAGTGGAAACACAATTCTCACCCCAAACCAGAGTTGGCTGTATGCACAGTTGTGAAAGCAACCTTATAGTCACCAATATGAAGAAGTCAAACTGCCGAAGTCTTAGTGAACATATTCTCCATAAGTATCACTTATTGTGAACCACTAGAATCAGGTGATTAGTAATACTCGATCATTAGTTGTCAAAGGATACCCTGGTCGCTGGCCTCAGGAATTTTGATTCAGTAGGTTATAGGACAGTTAGAATCTCTCTTTCTCTCTCTTTTTAAAAGCTTCCTAAGTAATTTTGATGACTAGCCAGTGTGAGGAACAAGGTTGTCGTATTGATTTGGATCTTGGTTCATTTATATACTTGTTCTTTTTGAGTTTGTCTCTTTATACATCAAATGAGAATAACAAGCTTGCTTCGTTGGGTAACTGGGAGGATTCAATAAGTTGGTGTTGGTGAGTATTAAATGTTCAATAAATGTTAGGTTTTTTTTTTCTTTTCTCAACATACTTTTCATTTTGACTAATACAGACCAGCCCTACTTGATTATTCTCACACATCCATTTGATTAACCTATTGAGCTAATGAGGCCTGAGTCATGATTTCTAGTTCTGTGTAGGACAGAAAAGCTACTCACTACCTGGTCAGAGTGTGTATCTAATCCTGCCAAATAAATACTTTTGATCCCAAAAGAACACCGGTGAAGATATGAGAGGTAGGGCCTAACTCCCTCTAGCCCTTCAGGAAACAGCTGAAAATGCATGGTATTAAACCATTGAAAATGGTATGTCTTATAGAAATCTCAGCATTCCAGTGAATGATTTGATCATATACCACATAATCTCCAGAGCTGAGTGGGGATTGACCAGTGGCCAATTCAGCTCAAAAGACTGGTCTACATATGAAGAGGGAGTTTGGAGGGAGGTGATTAGTTGATAATTCATTTCCTAAAATGTTGTCTCAGTTGTCTTGGTTGTTTTCCTTGAAGTATGTAGGTATTACTGTCCAATACAGCAACCACTAGCCACATGCAGCTATTGGATTGGAAATGTGACTAGTTTGAATTGAAATGTGTCATACATATAAAATACACACTAGATTCTGAACACTTAGTACAAAAATGTAAAATACCTTTTTGACAATTTTTAAATATTTATTGCATGTTGAAATGGTAACATTTTGGAAATATTGGGTTCAATGAAGGATATTATTCAAATTAATCTCATTTATTTTTACATCTTTTAATGTGGCTTCTAGGAAATTTAAAATTACATGTGTAGTTCATATTATATGTCTATAGGACAGTGCTGATCTAGATTACTTGCCCTATTTCTCTATATCCTTTAATGTGTAATTTTACTTCTTTCAATATTATACCTTTGGCTGTCACTCCTAAGAATTAACATTAAATGCATATTGGGCCACCTGATATTACAAGATGAGCTATATTACATAAATTTAGGAATTTGATCTGACTTGAGATAGGGTCAACCAACCTGAGACTAAACAAATATTGTACTAACCAGCCAAATCCTGAAAAGTAGTGCAATGAATTCCTATAAATTTGAATCTTTTTAAAAAAGTAGACAAAAAGGTATGTTAATCATAGAGCATACTTGTGCCAAATATTCACACACATACACATGTCCAGATTCCCTGGTTTCCAAGTAGTTAAAATACCTTATTGCTTGCAGTACTGAAAACAATGAAGTCAAGAAACAAATTATTGTTCATCCAAATGAGATGATTCTAACCTGTCACTTCATCTTTTTTCCCCCTTTCACCGTGATTTTTCAAGGCACCTTATATGACAGTTCTTTGCTCTCCTTTTAAATGCTTTCCCTTGAATTATGTTCAGAAACACTCTAGAGTTTTCTCATTTTCTACCTTTAGGTAACATCTTTTCAAATCTCCCTTATAACACATTTTGAGAAGAACTATTTTGCTCTCTAATTTTTTCAGCTCCTCTGATTTTCTTTCTGAGTTTTCTAATGTGACTGCTTCTTAGATTTTTCCTCTAGTTAGCAAACTTTTCTTATCAAATAAGTAAATTTCTCCTCTGATTTTCTAATTATGGCAGTTCCTTCTCTTTTACTTCTTAAACTCTTCCTTAATTTCTTCATTTTGTATTTTCTTCTTTTCTTATCTAGATTTCCAAGCTACAGTGTGATTTTAGAAGTGACGTGTATGATAACTTCAGAAAAGTCTTCAGAGGATAGCTTTTCGTTTTACTATTTTTTTATTTTAAAGGATAATTATATATATGTAGTCAAATGCCAAGGTATTTTATATAGCCCGTTGGAAGGAAATACATATATACATCTGTAGACATATATATATGCAAACATATGTAAATCCACACATTCTGTAGTCATCTGCTTGTATTTTAAGATTGCGTTTTGAGTATAGCAGTAGTCACTGCTTCACCAGATGCAGCATAAATTTCAAGGATGGCCTTACGTTGGCTGGATCCTCTGTTGCTTTGTGGCTTTCCTCAGATACTTCAGGGGCTGTTGGTACAGATACAGGAAGCAAAGGAGATCTTGCCTTTCCAGCCAACCCAAGAGAGGCTGTTTTAACATGAGTCTTGGGAAGAGTAGGCCCTGAAATAGAAAACACAGAGTGATGAAAGTAATGTATAAAACATTCTGGGGAACAATCTCTCAAGCGTGTAAGCCAACTCCAGTGGGTTGGCATTGATTCTAGGTTATTGTTCATTCTGTAGTATAGAGATGAATTATGACACAATGAATGGGCTCATTTTATTTCTACTAAATGGAAGACAAATTCTGATTAGGCCTCTCTAGACGAAGCTCCACCAGTCATATGTAATTTCAAGTGGATTCCAAATCATGCTGTGAAAGGTTGCCTGTGAGCTCCAGACTGTTCATCACACCCTACAAAGTGTCAGTGGAACTCATTTGGTGCCAGTCTCAGCTTTGGGCCAGAAAGCCCTGTGTTAGCCTGCCTAAATAAAGCCTAAATTGTTTAACAGCACCAAGGAATATTTTTGCAATTAAAAGATATGGTCACTTCTAGTCTACAAATGAATATTAGATGTTATAGTAAAATAAAATCCTTCATGGCTAAACTGATAGAATCTCATTATTAATTCTTTTTTTGGGGGGGGGGAAGATGTTATTCTGTCCTTACCAGTATAGCTTTTCTCAATAAAAGAAATTCTAATGTTCATGAAAATCATTTGTAAGAACTGCTCAGTTTCTACTAGATGACATTTCTACCTGTTATAAACAATGGCTACCTTTTCTTTGGGGATCTGAAATTTGCCTTATAAATCCTTCTTAGCTTATAGCAGTAATAAAATTTGTCCTTAGAGCCTAAAATAAAACTTTTATGGAGGTTTACTGAATCAGCTAGTATACCTCACATACCTAAGGACTTTGTCATTCTTACCTTTGTAACCAAAACTTCAGCACGGAAGGTATTGAATGAAACCATGAAAAGAAGTTTGCCTGAGTTCTCTTGTATCATCAATAATGATATTTGAGTTCTAATAATGCTAAAGGTGTATTAGTGCAAAATTTGGGGAGAAATTTTTTGTTTTGATCATACTTTGGTACACATAATCCCAGTTAATAAAACTCACAGGTTATTCTACAATCAGAGAAATTGTGCACATTTGCTTATTGGGAAAAAGTAATGCAAATAGTCTATTAATGGCCAGCAATTGGGTATATGCTAGGCAAAATAATGATAAAGCATAACAAAGCACCTTTTCTCATACTTTCATATTTATATGGCTTGACATGAATTCCTTCATACTTATATTCTTTCACTCTTAAACTTCAGGGATCAAAAGTTTGCAGTTGGAGTGATTTATCACTAGAGGGTGATCTTAAGTTTTTGGTAGCTCAGATGAAAAGAAATACAGTGACAAGAGGAATATGAATCATTTTCTTTAAGAGAAAATACAATATTAACTGAATGTCTACTAAGCTCCAGACCTATGCTAAGCACTTTAAGTCATTTTAGGCAAAATAACATAGTGGGAAGAATTTGGGATTTATCGATCTAATCTACATTCAGATCCTGGAAAGATCAACTGTGTACTAGCCATATAAAACCTTGGTCAACTGACTTAACTTCCCTTGCCTGTTTCTTCTTCTGTAAAATGGGAATGAGAATTTGTAAAGATTAAACAACATTATATAATTAAAGTGGCTGGTCCCTATAACTTGTTCAAAGAGGGCAAGTTATTATTAATATTTAATTTTCAAAACAATTCTACTAAATACCATTATTTTTAGTTCACATTTGAGAATGCCAAAACGGCATTGTCACAGAAAACTGCTTCTCTTAGAACACTCCACGAGCCACCTCTTCCTTCCCTATATTTAATAGAGTAGGTGAATTTTAAAAACCAGCACAGATTTCTGTACATACCTCTTATTTATCTTTTATTTTTATCTCTAATTTTGACTTAGGTTTTCTTGATTATGAAATATGTTTATTTACCTTTAGCTTTTAGCTTTAAAATTTTCAATAAACCAAACAATGTCTGAAAAATTTACACTTTAACTCATAAACATATGCAGTGTGTGTCTAATGCATATCAGAAATCAATTCACTTTAGCATAGATATCTGCAAAGAGAATGACACAAGAAAAAGTCAATAACAAAAGCGTAGCTTATCATGTATGAAATTCAAACAAGCTGTGCCTCTTTCATCTTAAGAAACATACAAGAATAAATATTATTTTAGAATTTATTAGATTGTTCTATAAAATTCCCTAATGTTTATTAGAGTACTTTTTTTGGTAGTTTTGCATGTGGGGAAATTATAGTTCTCACTATAAAAGTATATTTTGATGGTGTATTTTCTGCCCTGGATCCTAAACACTTGGGGAGATCCACAGTGTATTATACTGCATCTAAAGTACTTATATTATTACAATATAAGGCAAGTATGCCTAAAGAGTACCATAATTCAGACCTATTATAAAGACCATTATAATAATTGATTTTCTCTAAGGTCCAGGCAACAGTTATACATTCAGAACCTACTGAGTGCCAAACAATATTCAAGACACTGCATTTTACAGAAAGAACTAAAGACATTATCTCAGCTTCAAAGACCACACAGAGTGTTTAAATCTCAAGTGACTGCCTTTTTTTCAAGTAATATTCACAGATTCAAAGAAATTCAGAACGCTGGCCCCTTGAGGGCTCTTGGAGTTCACCTAGTGACCTTCCCTTTATTTTGCTGAACAGAACACTGAGGTCCGTAGAGATCAAAAGATCAAGGTTGAATTAAATTCGATAAAATTCCAGTATAGGTGAAGAATTTGTAAAGTTGATTATTAACAAGATTTGTCTGATATACTTTACAACCTTAAACATTTTCCGTTCATTTTCCTGGAAAAGGAAATTCCCTAGATGGGAATTAAGAAAAGACTATAGGGATATTTCTCAGAAGAGATTTTCCAGCACCCAAAAAAACAACTTGAGTCTCAAAACTGCCCTTGAGTAAAGTGGAGCAGACGTTATAAAACAAAGACTCCTATGGAAACATGCTATATTTGAAAGTTCATGCTCATGTTTTTGCATGTGCATTAACTCTGTTGTTATGTTATATTTGCATTTGTATAGATTCAGCATTTTCTACTCTGAACCACCAATGTTTTAAGCCTGGACACTTGGATCCTTACAAGCTCAGCAAGCTGAACCTCTTTCCTCATTTATGTATTCTTAGTTCACTATGTGTTACAGGTTCCTGTCTGGATTTTCTAGGGTGCATCCTTATCCTTCCACAGGGCCATGAGGCATACCTTTAAACTTTACCTTGTGCTAGAGACTTGATCAATGGCTTACTGCAATGGTTAAATTCTGAATACTTTTCTACATCATTCAAACTAAAAGTTTTTATATGAAATCACCAGTCTCATGGCATGAGCTGTGTTCAAGTAAGAAAGCAGTGTAATCATTTAGCATTTGTATTAGAAAGTGGTGGCTAGGAGCTCAGTCCAATCTGAAGAGGACACTGGGCGCCATCTTGCTGTTTCTTACCTACTGAGGAATTACAATTGTTGAGGGACCATGTATCTTGAGTCCATTCCTTCATATTGAACATTCCTAGATTTCAGTAACAGGTGGGGTGTTGCCACATTTCCTCCATTGCTTTTGGCCTTTTCTACACTGCCCTCAGAAGCGAGTTTATAGCCAGCTTTGTTCTTGCAGCCCTGTCCCCCCCTATTCTCTGTGTACTCATTCTTCACCCTGGGCTGCCTTAAGGCGTGGCAACCTTTGCTGTGCCCAAGAGTTTTTGGACACACTGAAAGAGAACCACAGTCCTGCCCTCCCAAAGAATCCATGGCAACACTAGCAATTAGAGAAAGAATTTTCATTAGGGTATTGAACTTCTGTTCTTCAATGTTGAGACATGAGAGAATTTTTCACAGCTTTTCCTACTTTTTGTAGATCTAGGGAGTAACCAAAAGAAAGACAAAAATTAAAAGAATTCTTTCTATGGCTTTCAGCTATGAATCTAAAATAACCTTAATCTGGCAGTCAAGATCCTCTGTGATCACTCCCAAATATGAAGGATGACTTTCAGATGTGAATAAGAAAAGCCATGTCACTTTCAGAGAGGATGTGAACAAAGCTGAGGGGGGTAGCAAGTGATAAGAGGGCTGGAACTGGTGCTCTGAAAAACTGTCTCCCTGTAGACAGGCCTCTGAGAGATAAGAGGTTCCCAATCCTGAAGATCAACCTGGTCTTCATGACAAAAGGTTTCTGATTTCTTGTATTATTTACTTTTTTTCTTATGAGAGTAAACTATGTATGATCTATACAATAAATTCCAAAAATGGAATGCATGTTCAAGTAAATAAATACTTAAGTTGAATCCTACTTTGGGACTTAGGAGTACCAGTTGTATAGTTTTCTGACTTTGGCTCCACAGTCTACTTTCTTTGGGTCTTGATTTGTTATCTATAAAGGTCAAACAATCTAATCTTTAAGCGATTAACTATAAAAGTATACAAGGAAGGAGAACAGAGCTGTTCTATGTATACTTAACTTTACATGTGGATTTCTTTGCTCTCCATAAGATCCAGGAAGCATTAGTTAATCCAAGGTAAAAAATGAATCCAAAGAAATCTCTGGCAAGTATATCCTTAAACTCCAATTACTGCAATGTAGGAGTTAAACTGGTGCCTTCTACAAGAAAATGTTCTATCATTTTCTCTTAAAATTATTAATGAGAAACCATAACAATTCTGGTTGTTTTGCTTTTTTATTTCAAACTAACAATAGACCATTCAAGTAAAAATAGGCAGTGTTAAATTATTGTGGGTTTACATTACCCATGATTAATTGAAAAATTTAAATTTACAAATGCTCAATCTGAAACCACTATAGATTTTCCCCTACCCAGGGTGCATGTTGAAGAAGTGTTTCAGGCGACCTTTAGGTAGAACACATGATGCTGCTATGCTAAATAAATGGGTCTACAATGATATACAACTAATTAAGTGAGCACTGCTTTGGTTTTAATGTTACTCTCCTCAGCAGGACCCATTAAGGGGATAAAACACAAATGAAGCTGAAGTTCTCAGACGGGCCAGCCATGTGCATCAGGTGT